AGCAGTAAAAGCAGAAGGAGCTGACCCTTTCTCCTTACGCACATTTTTATGTCGGAATGCTGGGAATGCCGGCAGTGCACTGCTCTTCAAAAATGGGAAGGTGATACTTGGCTTGCTACAGTTTATTACGATATTGATTTATCGTTAAAAAAATTGTAAATGGAAGATTCATTTTTTGGTGGTTAGTATTTATTGTGGGTACTTTCTCTTTGTACCAGTGGGGAGCTTTTTTAGTTATTTTTCTGCGCTACGATAGCATTTGTATAAACGTTTGTATAAATAACTTCCATGACTCATTGTAGATACAAACTAACTACTGAAGTTTCATTCTGCTTTTTATTTACTACAGTTCATGTTTTTTTAAACAACATTGTACATATAGAATAGTTTTGAGAGATAAACCTGCTTTATGGTTATTGTGTCAGTGACATAAAGTAGTTTCAATTTGAACAACTTGAACAGCATATTGCACATCAAATTTTGAAGTGTGATTGCTGATGAAAAATGCTGAAGAAAATATAGACGATAAACAATAATATTAAATGAAATTTTGCCACTGACACAATAACCTTATTTCATGATTATTAAACTATTATATGTACAGTATTGTTAAGGAGCATGAGTTGCAATAAAGAAATAAGCTCTTTATTCATCCTTCTGCAGCTCAAATTTGATCAGTTTACAAAAAATTGCAAAAAGTTCTCCACAAGTACAAAGAAACAGTACCCACAAGAAATATTGACCGTGAAAGTAATTGCCCCATCTATCATGTATTGAATGACAAGTCGATATACAGGGCTAGAGGTGATACGTGCTTGGTGAGTGGAAGTCAGTGGTGTTGTCATGTCTTGAGGCTTCACACTGCGTCATACCGGACTCAGGCTGCAGCGGTGAGTGGTGCTTTAGGCATGAGCATAGTCATTAAGTCACTGTGGGTCAAAGATGTCAGCTCATGACCAGACAGAGAAAAGTCAGCAAGTCCTCGAAGCCTCTCCCTGTCCCTGTCATATGGAAAATGTCCTTTGTATCCTGCTAAAGATGATGGATGTTTTCTGTGAGGAGAGCGGATGGGAACTGAGAAAACTCTTGTATGGACACGCATTCACCATCGGTACAGGCTGTGCCAGTTTTCAGACATTCTATTGAGTTTAAGATCACAGCGTTATTAATCAAATGAATAGCGCGATCATTTGGCTAGATGATGCTACATAGTTATATCAGTTCAAACGCTCCATCAGATACAAATGCATGGTGAAGCCAACCCTCATATATAAGTATAATGACTAACATGTCATTTTTATTTCATGACATTGACATTAATTGTGAGTAACCATTTGACTCCAGAATTAAACAATTTTCCCCAAAACTCTACGGATTATTAGGTAAATTTCTATGTGATCATGCAAGAGTAGTCTATAGTAGTGAGTGACATGAGCATTGAGCATCATCTAGCAGATACGATCAAACCAAAACTATACAAATTGAAAGACATTCTGCATTCACTCAGACACTTAGAAAGTGAGTGAATGTAGCTTGAGTAGTTAATAGGGCTGGATATCATTAAGAAGTTGCCAATACGATACATACCTCGATACATAGGCCATGATACAGTAGACTTTTCGATAAAGTGAGCTTTCGATTCAATACGATACATTTCAAATCTATTCAGTATAGTTCAGTAGCCAGGCTGGTGCCACCTAGTTCCTCCGCTCAATTTCATTTCTCTCCAGCAACTAGGTCAGGAATCAAAATACAATAGACGGTTTGCAAAAACCCTGGAAGTGCAAGTTCGGGCACCAGCCAATCAGCGAAGAGTCATATATTCAGTGTTTTCAACAATTCCCAAGATTGAGGATTTAAAGCCAGAAAAAAGAGAATGATTGGTGAATTTCATCAAGGGGAAAGACGTTATTACCCTTCTTACTACAGGATTTAGGAAAAGCTTAATCTACCAGTTAAGCCTGTTAGCGGTGCATTACATACATTATGACCAAATAGCAGTGATTGGTTAAATGATCAAAAGTACTTGCCTACCGTCGAGCAAACGAATTCTAACACTGCAAGGTCAGACTGTTTCTACGAAGTGAAACAAAGTGAAACCGGCTGATGAATCAGGCTAATCATTCAGTGTAAAAAAAGGCTAAATCATGCCTGTGATACTAAAAGTCCGCTAAGTTTGTGCAAAGTGAATATGAAAAACACCCATTTACTCAAAACTATGAAAATGTCAACACACTTGTAGCTCTTACACAAAATAGTTTAGTAAAATATACCTAAAAATTACTCTTGGCGATATATCAATACAACAGCTCACAATATTAATACTGTATCATCAAATTAAACCATACGATATATTGATATTTCCATATTCTTGCACACCCCTAGTAGTTAACATCTTAAAAATTTATATATATATATGATATATAATATATATATATATATATATATATATATATATATATAATACTTTTTTTTTTTTATTTTATTTTTTTTATAGACTTTGTTGACCTGTGGGTCAACTCAACTCTTGTGAGGTCCATCTTAAAATATAACCACAGAACACTTGTTTTCACCTGGTCTTTTATAAGAATGTCATTTGAACTATTACATATAAACAACCTTAAAAGGTTTTCCATGTATCTATCTTTTTTTTTTTCAACCCAAGCCATTCTAGTTGAGTTGCAGGAGTATTTTTGAATCCAGCGCCGCATGTACGCAGTTGTATTTTCAGTCTGCAGTTCCCAAAAATAGAGCTGCTCTTACTGTTAGGTGTTCCTGTCACGACCCTTGCTTTAAGCATTGATGTCTCTAACCTAGTCTAACCTTATCTATTTTTTGACCACTGGATGACTCTTTTCAGATACAGGTGACATCTTCTGACCTTTTTAGTAACAAAGCTTTGAAGTGGGTTTGGCGAGTACGTACACAATCTTTTTTAGGTCTCCGGCGGATTTAATGAGACCCACTGGGACGCTACATAACTATAAGTTTCGACCCGTAGAGAATCAGGTATTTTGGGTTCGGTGATTTTACATTTTCTTTAATACCATTCTTGGTGTGATTCAGTGTTCGTGTCTGGCTTAATAGGGTGAGCTGAGTTCACCGAGCATCATTTTAAAAGGTTTGAGCTAAAAAACAGCTCTTTCCAAGACCCCAATGACCAATTATTTCAAATCACTGGCATGGTTTGTTTGGAAGATGTTGTAGCTATACTCTTCAACTAAAACGGGTCATTTTTTTCCTGCTATTGTCTTCACATTCTTTTATTTAAGGTCCTATATTGGGGTTGTTCTGTGTTAAACGTGTGTATGAAACAAAACACAAGGCCAGGTACGTTTTTAAGGAGGAAACAACTTTGTAACATAGAGCAGAAAACAGTGTAATATGGTCCCTTTAAGTTTGACTGTAAAACTGTAGCTCTGAAGTCTTGGGCGAGTGCTGTGTTGTCTGGTGCATGTTTTATGAATGCGTATCACTTGTGGCTGCTGAGATGTTTTTGTGCAAAATGTGTGTTTGAGAGCAGCCCCAGTTCACTGCCTCTCTCAGACTGTGAGGAAACAAGGCCAGGACTTTGAAGTACAGAGACTACAGCAGCCTCTCTGCCTTTCACAAAATGTCCTATTTACTTCAGGTTTCATCCACCCCCCATGTGTCTCACTATGGAACTAGTAAAACTTAATTGCACCAAACTCTTTCTGTAGTTATCCTATTTTTTTATTAAACTTCTTATATTAAGCAAAATTTAGTCTTTGATTGAACTTGACTCAGATTTAAGCCATGTTATAATGTTGTTACCTTCTTAAAAACATATCTGGAGTTTTGTTTCATTCACATGTTTAAGTAATGTAAGTAATAAAGAGTAATAAAGTTTTTTATTAATCTGTCCACATCTCCAAAGCTCAAAATGCTCTTTTCCACATTGTGATGTCATGTAGTGGTAGTTTTCAAGTTAATTCCATGGCTGAAATTCTCCATATGATTCTAGAGAAGGTGTGTGGAGTTTAAAAACACAGTGGAGCACTTCCTGTATTATCACATATGTATTATTACTGTATTATGACATCACAAGTTGGAACAGAGTGTTTTCCTTTTGAACAAAGAACTCCAGCGATGTTTTTGATGAGGAAACAGCATCATAACACGGATCAAAAAATAGTCATAAATAATATGGGCCCTTCCTAATTATCAAACAGTAAATAACTTAAATGTAATGTAGTATGATGCCACTAGGCCAAGTTACAGGTCTGATCTGTGGAGAGGCAAGCCCACTCACAGTAAGATTGCATGTTGAGCAGGGTATTTCTTTAGATATAAACAGGCTGTAATTGAATGCAAGAAAGACAAGTTGAATGCTCAAGCAATAATCTTCATGGAGAAGAATAGACAATATGCCTAACCAGAAAAGTTACACAGTGCAGCTTTTGAAAAAAGTCTAGAGTGAGTGTTTTTATGGGTGGACATTGTTCTTTAGCCTGGTTGCTATCTCTAAATTAAGTTTTTGAGTTGGATTTTTTTCTGTGAGACATAGTGTACTTAACTGAACTAATATTGCCACTGTAGAGTTGGTATTCCTCTGTAATTAGGTGAATACATTTCTGTGGTCTTTCTTTTTGTGTGTGTGTCATAGAGATTGACATGTTAGAAATAATTGCCTCACCAAAGCCTAAAATCAATATTGTCAATATTTTAATTATGTGGTGTATGCTGGAACACTGGCTTTGTCCTGGGTTAGTTCTACATTTCCCATTGCTTTGTTCATAGAGTCCCAAATGTAGTTCTAGTTTAAACCTGTCCATTTCTTGTACAGTCTTTGATTCTTTTATTGATTTTAGCCCCAGCTTTTCAACAGTGCAAGTTATTTCCGAGCCCTTGTAAATCAATAGCTTTCTCTCCAACAGCATTCAAATATCACAGGTCAAATCATTATAACACCGTTTAAAAAGTAATTTCTTTGTGTTTCTCTAGTTCAGCTCTGTTTAGCCTTTGTTTTGTGTCTATAGGGGCCTGAGGTCTGGCCGTCACCTGGACGACGAGGATTTTGTGCCGGAGTTGGCTCACATCCATCCCCGAGAACGCCCCGACTGGGAGGAGACCATCAGTGCCATGGTGAGAAGTGCACAGCTCTAAATACACTGTCATGCTGCAGGAATGACTCCATTTTAATTTCAGGCGTACTATTATTATGACTACGCATACTAAGTACGGTTCATGTTAAGTATGTCTTTGTTGCCAGGTTATTAAAGAGGCTGATTTTTGACATCTTAAAACATCAAAAGCTTAACACATTCATATTAAATGTTTTGAAGTGGTCCAAAGTTCTTTCCCAACGCATTAATTCGTAGCATCCTAATTATTCACAACAATGACATGTAAACGCCTTTCGCAACTTTAAGAGACTTTCAGAGTTTTACTTTCAGAATTTTGCTGTCACAGTAAAGCTAACAATAACAACCATGCTAATTACACTTTTGATTCTCAGACAATAAAAACACAACATCACAAGGTGGAACAGAGCATTTTAGCTTTGGAGTCTGTCTACAGACAGACTAGCAGGATTACTGAAACATGTGTGAATGAAACAAAACACAACTCCAGGTATGTTTTTGATGAGGAAAAGGCCATTATATGATATAAGAATATACAAGAATTCATTTTGCATAATATAGTCCCTTTAAGGACAATATGGATTTGTTGGCTCACCTTTAAGGATCTAACTGTGATACTCCTTTTATCACATTTAAGTATAGCAGGTGTGCAGAGATCAGCTGATGTCTCTGTCCTCTCTGTTGATTTGTGTTTTGCTCTACTGAAACTGTGTCTGTCTTTCACTGGAACACAATCACACAGTCATCACTAATGCAGACACTTGCTGTTGCCCTGAGGCTGCCCTATTCCTCACTCACTGCATAGATATCCATCCATCGCCAGCTCCATCTCTACTGTCATCTCAACTCTTTATTGTCCACACCTGTTTCATTCACTACCATATTGCTCTGCCATGAAAATCACTAAATTAGACTTAAGAGAAACAGTGGAAAGATGAGTAAATGATTGACAGTACCTATCGACTTATCATTCTATAAGAGACAGTGTTTTTAGCGAAACTGTACATTTAGAATAATCTTTTGGGCAAATCCTGCTTTTTGGTTATTATGTTGGTTTCAGTAGTAACATTTGTATCTACATTTTCTTCAGCAATATATCGCACTTAAAAACATCTATCGTGACAGGCCTTTTACCATGCATCATTCAGTACTGCCCCCTTCCTTCCTTCTTTGGTTGCAGTCTGGCAACTAGCATCAACAGTACGGTAAAAATGAGGCCGTCTCCATGGTAACATGCCGAGCCACCCATGGACGGTGCGTGGTTGGAGCCCAGTGCTCACTTCGATCAGGCAACAGTCAGAGAGGAAGAGGAAGTACAATCTCACCGGGATGATGAATATTGATCAGAGGCGGGGTCTAAACGCTGCGTGTCTGCTCTTCTTTGTTCAATATTTGATAGGAGCTGCACTGGAGCAGCATATGCATTATAGATATCTGCGATGACTCCGATGCCTCTGAGCAACTTGTGCTAGTCCTCACACCAACGCCCTGTTGCTCTGTGGAAGATGGAGAGCATAATCTCATTGATGCCAAACCTGAACATTGCTGCAAACAAATCTTCCTGTACAGGTACAAATAAAGTCACCTGAACCTAAACGGAACTTGGCTTTGGACTCAAATTTGACCAAACATCGCCTTAAGTTTAGATGATCTTTTCATAATTCATGTCTTTATGAGGTGCCCCAGTGGCTTTGAAGGATGGTTATATGCAGAGGACATGTTTCTCTATGGGGTTAATAAAATGTACCTCAACTAAAAACCAATAAAACAGTGACAAGTAATTTAAAGAAGACATTGTACTTGTGTCTCTGTGTAGTTATAATCTATGATACCCATGGATCATTATTTTATCATTTGAACATGTATTCATCTAAAATGACTTAATAAAAGAAACAAGTCCGCTGACTTCCTGCTGTGTCCAAAGAGAGCTGATAAAAGATTACTTAAACATGCACAAATCACTCCAAATACAACTCCAGGACAGGGGAAACAACTATGACATGGCTATAAGCTCTGAAAAGTACATTTTGCTTAATAGGTCTGCTTTAACAAAATCAATACATCACTGTAGATCATGTGCTTAAGAATTGTATGAGCTTCATTCACACTGGTTAATTAAAATGTATTTACCTTTTGACATTCAAGATACAAGAAATGACATCACCTCTATCTGGCCTGCATGTCTCTTTACTCACTTTGCATAATGCAAATTCAACTTAAGAAGAAGGATGATAAACTTTAGAATAACCTTTGAGGAGCCTGGTGTGTTCAGGGTCCACCTCGTCATTCTGATTCACCAGTTTTAAAGCAAGCTGTGAATCTTGTGAGAGGCCCCATAAAGTCTGACCTCATCTGCATAGCTCCTTTCCTGTCAGCGAGAGCCTGTACACAGCAAACTCTCTCCACACTTTTTTATATTTACACCTCATTCCTCACAGCTTAGTTTGCTGATCTTTTCAGCTCTTTCCATGATGCTCACATTTCAAGGTGCTGTATCTGATTTTTATTGACTGAAAAACTGAAGCAGTTCATTTTAAACAATTTGCAGTGAGCCAAATGTATTCACTTCACTTACCTTATGCTTTTCGAGCATCCAAATTAATCACCATGAAGAGAGTACAATCACTCTTCACAACTCTCTGAGACCAGTGTGTAGTCTAGCCTTTGACAGTAATGCTAACCTCCTTCCTGATTATCGGACAATAAAGTATTCTCTAATTGGATGCAGACAGCGGACATGTTTTGCTCAAGTACCTGTAAAAAATCGGTACAGGGCTTTTAAGTACGTATTTTTACAGCATCACCATATTACCACTATATTGCATCCTCTTTTTGATTCCTTTAATGTTTATGGGCCACTTCTGCTTTCAATTTTCAACACAATTTAACCTAAATAAAGCAGGTGAGTCACTTCCAGGAGCAATTCACAACCACTCATTATTAAAGTAGCAAGCTGCATTCCCAGCGGGATGATGGTTAAGATAATATGGACTGTTTGAAACCCAAGTGGTTCTTCCTGCTTCTTTGCCCAGTGGAATACAATATTTAAGATGCTGTAAAACAAATCTAATCAAACAGGGAATTTAGTTGTCTATCTGTATTTAAAAGTTAATGCCCGGAAATCTTTGGTCCTTCTCAGTTCTTTGTCGTTTTCCCTCCTGTAAATGTGAGCTATGTGTATTTGACCTCACTAGCCACAAGCAGCATCAAAGTTTACCACTTTTACAAGGTAGTCATAGTTTTAATCATAGTCATCATCATATAGTTTTATCAGTGGCATAATGTAGTTTCAATATAATATTTTAATGCAGTATGTCATGCTTTAAAATGTGTTATTGTGACAGGCCTAAATTAAAACAATCTGGTGGTATAATGGCAGTTAATTTTATTAGTGTTTATCACAGTCAAACAAAATCTATAACAAACATTTACCTTTTTATTGCGTCCCATCCCTACAATCAAATGATAATAATAATAATAATACATAACATTTGTATAGCTCTTATCATGACTATCAAATACACTTCACACAGTTCAAAACAGACAAAACACCAATGAAAGGAACAGATAAAAAAGAAGACGCTGTTATTTTGAATGAGTACACAAATCCTGCTCGATCTTCCACAGGTCCTTCCTCTGATCCAGCTTGTAAACCACAACATGTTTTATAGGAACAGAAAATGGTCGGATCCAGTTTTTTTCTCAGGTGTAAACATTGCTTTGCTTTGAGCTGTCTGCTTAGGGGGCCACTCATTATACTAGAAGTCAGCACTCCCACTGTTTGTACTGGGCTCATAAAACAGTCAACAAGTTAAACATACACTTGTGCCTCACTGCACCTTGAAAATAATGAAATGCCATTCAGGGCGGCCTCCTCATTTGCACTTTACATCCGCAGATGCTCCCATCTCCTTATGCACCATTTACAAGGTCTTTTAATAGGAATCACTACACAAACAGCTGCAGAATTAACAAACATGACCCGGTGTAAAATAGACGTAAGTCTTAATAGTTTTGCAGTGTTGTTTTCACCGACTTCAATTAAGGAAGTGTCACTGTGGAAGATGTACACTGTAATTGAGAGCACCATTGTTTTGTTTTGTTGGTTTCAGGCGCGGAGTGCAGAGATTCCCGAGCTGCGGTCCGAGCCTCTCATGAGATCTTGCAGCAGCAGTACGGCAAGCATGAAGGTCAAAAATGTCAAAAAGTGAGTACCTGCTGTCCTCTTTGTCATGTTTATCCTGCTATTTATCATTGTTAAAGGCGTATACCTGATTTTGAACCATGAGTCAGGATTTTAGTTTGAGCTAGTGTTTCAAGATTTGATTTTCTTTTACTTTTTTATTTACTTTTTTATGTTACCACCTGGCCTTATTTTGGTTACTTTTGACAACGCTAGATTTAAGTTTTAGGCCCGTCCACTTTGATTTGAATATTGCACCATGACACATACCACAATTGTGTTTGTTCGCATATAGTTAATCTTCTAATCTCCACCTACTGCAAGCTTTTTTGTCACTGCTGATAATGTACCATGGAATCAAATATCTGGGATAGTGTCAAGCAGAACCAGTTTCCCATGATTCTTAGTAACATTGTGCTTGATTGGGCGAAAATCCAAATACTCTTTATTTATATAGTACATTTTATAAACAAGACAGTTTCCAGTGCTGATATAAGATAACCTGATTATCTTTATATGTGCAGATAATAACAAAAAGTATAACAAAAGACATTAAAATCACAAAAAGGGGTGACCCTGTAGCTTCTGTATGAGTTATTGCTAGAGGAAATGCTATGTAAAATTAATGGATTACATGAATGGATTATATGTGACAGCCTCATTATCTTATTTAGCTGCTTTTACCAGATGACTCAAGATGTAATTTAACTTGAGAAGAATAAATTAAAATCAGGTACAGGCCCTTTAACACACAGTTTATGGTCTGTGCATCCTGCCTCAGCTCCTCTCAGTCTATTTCTGTGTCTTCTCTATCCCTCGCTCCCTCTGCTTACACTGCACTCTGCCTCCTCGCCTCGTCATCCTCACTTGGAGGCGTTATCTTGAGCGAACATAAGGTGATAACCAAACTGTGCCTTGTGTCTTATGTTTCAGACTCAATTTTACCAAGGGACACTTTCCCAAACTGGCAGAGTGCGCCCACTTCCACTACGAAAATGTGGACTTTGGCACAATCCAGGTAAAGACCTCTTCTCAGCCCACATCTGCTCACATCCCTGTCACTAGTGCTTTTTGGAAGGTCTGTTTGAAAAATGGGAGACCCTTTATAGCAAGCCTTGGTTCTAACAGTGAGAGGTGCAGTGTGTGAGTTACCGGTAGATACTGGAAAACTCTTAAAGGGGCTCCATGCAGATTTTCTGGTGAAGTCTCCGCTACCTGCTTGTCTCCATGGAGATGAGTTGAATGTGTGGTTTTATTGCTCAAAAATACCTGGAAAAGAATGCATTCTTACTATGAATGAGTCCCCTCTCAGAGCTTTAACTTGGGCAGCTCACATCACTTGCTCGTCTTGATGGGGATTGACAAGTTTAATGCCATACTGTGGATCATTTCAGTAAATGCACGAACATCTAGAGGGAGACAAACAGGTGCTGTGCCCTCCGCCAGAAAAATTAGACCGTGCACCTTTAACTTTATTGTGTATTATTCATCATATAAGCTGTATCACACAAAAAAAAAAAAAATTACATTTGCTGATTTTTACTCTTAAATTTTTTGACACAAAAAACTAGGAGTATGCAAAAATATTGAAATATCAATATATCGTGTTGTTTAATGTGATGATACAGTAGCGATATCGTGGGCTGCTCTGTTGACAGTATTTTTTGGAATAATTTTACTAAATTATTTTGTTACAGTGCTACAGTTTTGTTGCTTGTTTGGAAGAAGGAAACTCGTTCATGCAACACATTTGACATTTTGACTATTTTTTTGATGATTAAAATGGGTGTTTCATATGAACTTTACAGAAGAAGTGGTTTAACAAAGACTTGGTATCACAACCATGATTTAGCCATTATTTTTTATTGAACTGTATTAAATCGATTTGAAATGTATTGTATTGAGTCGTATCGAATCATAAGCTCACTGTATCGAGATATGTATTGTTTCGTGTCTTATGTATCGAGGTATCTGCAATTTTTGAATGATACCCTGCCCTACACACAATGCATGAGATGTTTTGGATTTTGAATATTAATGTCATGCAGATTTGGTAGTCTGTTCCAGGAGATAGGTCTATGCAACATCTTTTATTCAAAATTGTTGTTATACTTACCTGAGGACTCTCTACAAAAGTCATAATTCTAAACATAGTATAATTTTGTTGTCATGATGAAGCTCCCCCTGTCCTTGACCTATAATGAAGTTTTCTAGAAGAGCTTTTCTGTGCGTCACTGTTAAAACTTTGGTGATTTTCCTGAGCTTTATTCTCCACTCTTTTCTTCCTGACTGAAATAGATGTTCTCAGAGACACAAACATGACTTGGGTGACGTCAAACAGGCTCCCTTGTTGATGAAAATGGCTGATGATTAGCATTTGTTTGATAGCGTCCTCTTGGATCTTTCAGCACAGTTACAGTGCAGCCCGATCATTCACGCTTTGAATTAAACAAGCTTTGACACGGCCTTCTTTGAAACTCCGAGATCGAATAAATGTGAAATTACCCCTGTCAGGAAGACGCAGCATAAAAGCCTTTGGAAAGTGTTTTCAAATTGCACCTCCACTTTGAATTTGTCATTATGGGATGAAACCAGCAGGGGTCAGCATGCATCTAGGTTTATTATCATGAGGATACTGGCTTCCTTTGCTCTTATACTTATAGATTATCTAATTATATAACTCAGGTTTCACTTATAAACCCAAATATTGACTCAAGTCATTAGCCTCCCCTATTATGACATCTGCAAAGTGTTATTTCTCATACTTTACAAATAGCAGTGACTTTTTGTTTTGCTTGGATCGCCACTGCTGTCTGGCTTTAGTCTTCATCATGGCCGCCCTGTTTCAAATGAATACAGGCCCAAAGCTTAAACTCACGTCTGCTTTGTGTGTCATGGGATTAATTATTTAGTATTTGTTCCTCGTGTCACTCGGTAGATTTTCGCTCTAATCTTGTGTCAACCTGAACATGTTTACTTGTCTAATTAATTGGATCAGTGCGAATAATGTGATGTGATAGAAGCACTATTGAATTTCAATGGTCTATAAACTCTGCCAGTTGATAATATCTTGTTTGCGATGTAGTTTTGCGTTGTAAAATTTGATTATGTCATAACTTCAGATGGAGAGTAGGGACCTGTATAACTCTGTAGGAGAATCTTGTCATCATTTGTTTGAGATTGGCTCCGCAAATTGTCTTATTCTCATCTTTTTGTCTTAATGCAATTTCAGCTGACAACAACAATATGTTTTGGGTTGAATAATGACACCACTTTCTGAGGCTATTGTAAAAAACATTTCACTTTTGTTTATTCATGTTTACAAGGCTTGGCAATTGATCACACTTTAATTGAGTCATTTATAATCATAATATTCTTGGGTCATTTTGTTTGAGAGGGCTACAGCCAATCCTTCATCAGTAAAAGCATATGGGTTGGAGCGGAGTTCAGATCTTGGATATTTGACTATTGTTTGTGTTAAGGGAACTCTGGAAGTTCTGAGCTTTCACATGAGGCACGACTTTTTCATATACTGAGAAAATGTGTATGGTGTCCTCTATAAAGGCATTGGGAAATGGCAACCCAAATTCACTCGTGGTTGTAGTATCTTTTTTTTTTAAACTGTAAGAGCAGAAGCTACATGCAGTACCTTTTTAAATGGCAATGTTTTAAAGTCATTCTGGAAATTAATATTGAAGCCATTCTTAAATGTTTTCTGTGGAAGACAAAACGAACTAAAAGCAATATAAGAAAAATTTAGATTGTTATTACCCAGCCATAGTTGTAGTGTTATCTCAATACTAAAACTTCAAACTCTATTTCAATTCCTTATTTAGACAAGAGAATTTCATTTTCAACATTAAATCATGATACTTTCGTTTAAAATTGCCATGTGGCTGTATCTATAATCCATCAGCCATCCAAGTATGTTCCACAGTGGTCCATGAGCGTATACTAGTCAAGTTTTGATTTGAGTTTTAGTATTGATTAATATCTGAATTCTGACACTTTTGACAAACCTACCTAAGCTGCTAAATCCTTCTGAAATCACAATAGCAGATATTAAGAGCGAGGTTGTAACTCGGGTTCATCCTGGCACACGGCCTTCAGCTGGAAGCACAGAGACTTATTATTTCATTTCCACTATAAAAAAAACTGCCAGAGGAGAATGTGAGTCAGCACTGAGTTCTGTTATGGAAACATTAGGTCCTCATCGTCACAAAATGCCAAAAAGAAATGTTAAATTGGGCTGTATTTACAAGATTTTTCCTCTTATTTTCTTTCTGCTTCGAAGAGAGTTCCACTTAGAAGCATTCGTGATAGGGACATTTGTCAAAATTATTCAAATTATGTTTTGCACAAGGCCAGCGTGACTCAGCATTTGGGATGGAGGTTAAAATTCATAGGCACGCAGAAATAATGGAGTGTGTTGAACCTTATGATTATTTTGATTTAAACAAAGTACACAGAAATATGCAGGGGTGGAAACTAAGCAATTAAAATACTGTATACTCTACGTTACTGTAACTGTGAGTAGATATTTTGGGCAATTGGTAATTGTAGATTTTTAAAAGAGTATATTGTAATTGATTGAAATCCTAACCTAAAATTCACTGCTCCTCTCTGTACAGATTGCCATTTAAAACAACTTAGTTATGCTTTAAACAGCCAAATAATCAAGTTTTATATAGAGTAGACTGATCTTAAATCCTACTAAATAGCGAAAAAGTAGTAAGTAACTACCTTTTGAGAAGTTTTTTCATTTATACTTTTACTTAAGTGCAAATTTGACAATGATAGTTGAACTTGTAGTTGGGTATGTATTTAGCCATGTAACAGCTTTTTCCTGAGCACAAATCTTCAAAATCACAATTCCCAGACTTTTTTCTCTCTCTTAACAATATTCTAAAAGCTTTTCTTGAATTCAGTTGAAAGTTGTTTCCTTGAATTTTGCCAACAAAGAACATTTTACCTGGAAAGCTAAGATGGATCCTGCTCCTTTTAATTACACTTGCAGGATTAGAATAGGTCTTGTAATGCCAAACTTCATAATTTATTGATTAATGTAACAAGATGAATCATACCTCATATTGGTTTTTAAAGGTGTATTTTGTAACTTTTCTGGTGGAGTGTAGTTTCTACGAGGAGATGTTATTGCTTCATCTGGAATGTTTCATAGTATGGCATTAAACCTTTCTATCTTCATGGAGACCAACCCAGACAAGTTACAGGTTGGATCTGTGGAGAGGCAACCCCACTCACAGTCACAATTCTTGTTTTTTAAATTGTTTTGAGCTAGAAACCCACCTGTAATTGAATAAATGTAAAGCAGAGCTGATTAATGTCATACTGTGGAACATTCCAGGCAGAGAAATGGCATATCCATAGAAACAAGCAGGTGACGGGCTCCCAACCAAAAAGTTACACAATGCACCTTTGAATATCATGCAGTATTTCGGCTTATTTAATATTTTAGCTATGGAAGAAAGGAAAGTCGTGGTGCTATTCAACTGTTTATATCCATGTCAAGTTACTCAACATTTTGGGCCCTTTCATTTGAAAATCCTGTATGACAATAGCTCACAGGGCTGTAATTTAAATTCCCCACACTGCACATGCACGTTTGAAAGGACCCATGGAAAGAATAAGACATAATGATTAGCTGTGCCATCACACACAATCAGCTGTCAGTGCATACTTCTCTTCTGCCTAGAGCCAACCATTTGAATATCGCACTGTCTCTGTAAAGTTTCTGTTTGAGATAACCATACACAGCACACAGCATTGTTTATCACGACACAATAACGCAACTAATTACACAAACTTCTTGTTCAGTTCATAATGAGAAACTATTCTTAGCTCTGCAAACCTGACATCTTCCACACAGTACACCTGATTGCTGCTGTTAATCATTCTGTTATTCACACTAGCATGCTCTCCAGCTCTGCAAACTAATTTAGATATAAACACCGTCAGTCACAAGTTAAGACACACTTTTTCATGTAATGATTTTTTTAT